CTAGCAATTTCGCGATTTTAAATGCAGTATGACGACCATACTTTTTTGTATAATAATGTTATAACAATATACCCCGACCGATTTGGAATAAAGTAACGCAAAGTCCGAATAAGGTACAAATCACCAATAGCCTAATTATTTCATCGTAAAAAAAACCTGTCAAAATGATTTATGTCTCTCTCAGTGCTTTCTTCCGATATTCTTCATGAAGTTTTTAAATATTTCAGTGACCCGACGACACTTTATTCTTTGGCTCGTGTTAACCATTTGTGGAGTTATATAGCGATTCCTCTATTATGGCGACAACCATTTGAAATAGTTACTCAAGAACAATATCATAAGATAATTCAAACTTATGCCATCTGCCTTCCAGACAGTGCTAAAGCTCGCTTGGTATACGCAGGAATAAAGCTAGTTAATCATCCTCAACCGGCTTTCAACTATCCGGAATTTCTACAGAACTTTGACTCCGATAAATTCCGTCAAGCTCTCAACTTGTGGACGGAGATAACAATAATGAACGGGCTTTATGAAGACCCACTTAATGTTTTCTGCAGGCCTTTGAAGAGAGTTCTTGGACCCCTAGTCAAAGATTGCTATATAACTTACCCGAAAAATATATTTCACCGAGTACTAAATAAATGTCTGGAGCCGGCAGTAAAAGATTACTATTCTCAACATCCTAGATGCAGCGTGACAAAAGAAATCACCCATCTGATATTTAGTCGGTGTAATAGATTAAAAAGTCTCAGGGTTTACATTGGCGACGAGCATACCTTATCATTAATGGACATGGACTTTGCTTTACTTACCGAGCGACACAATGCCCTATTAAATCTTCAAAGATTTGAGTTGACTATAAGAGCTCCTCCTTTGCACGGAGAACAGAACTTTCAAGAAAATAATGACATCTTAACAAATCTATTTACGATGATGTCGACATACGCAACAAGTATCCAGGAAATGAAGATTCAGTCTTACACAACCGGCTTACCAACCCTAGTTCACGATAGTCTGTATCGGATGATTGAATCACAAAGGATGTTACAGTCTTTCATGTCCAATTATTTTTGGAACGCAACCGATAATTCTTTGTTTAAGGCTTTGCTGAACCAATCGCATTCACTGAACAGATTTCGTCTTTGGGGTCTAACGCACTTTGACGATTCTTTGGTAATAGGGTTACTGGAATGGAATGCTTTGGAGACGTTTGAACTAATGGGTTGCCCGGTATCCTCTTTGCCTGAACATTTCCAAAATGGTCAGCTGAGAATCAGAAACTTACATATCGGTAACGGTTACGGTTCATATCCATTCATAACGAACGGCCTGCTCAAGATGATTAATTTAAATCTACAAAAATTAGTGGTAGAAGGTGCAACTCCAGAGATAATAGATGCGATCACCGAGAATTGTCCCCAGATTACTCATCTCTCTATTTGTGCTTACGAAGATATATTTCAATCTTTACCAAGGTTACTTTCGTCTTTATCACTATT